TTTTGCAGCCTCACTTGCTTTTCTTCCTAATTGGAACTCTTAAAGCATGCAATGCCGAATATGCTCTTCATCCGCTATCTTCTTAGCCCTAGTTTTGCAACAAAAACCAAACCAAACACAAACTTTTTCAAGCAAAACTTGTTAATTGCACTTCACATGTTCTGTAGATACCACGTGTTTGAAGGTTATGTCAATACAAGTCAATGCCAAGCAAGATTTTAAACGAATGTTTAAAAACGACATTAATTAGTACTAGACCCGATACATGGTGCTGTCCCTTACAGGGGCTTGTACAAGAATCACTTGTAGTACTGTTCCCTGGATTTATGATTATGTCACACAGAATTTTAAAATTCAATAATCTTGAAGTCTCATTACTACCTAAATAATAAATAACTAGCCTGGCTGGTGTGACTGAGTGCTTGAGCTTTGACCCATGAACCCATAGGTCAGGGTTTGATTCCAGGTCATGGCACATGCCTGGTATTAAGGTTTGATCCCTGGTAGAGGGCTTATAAGAAACAGCTGATCAATGATTCTCTTTTATCATTGATGTGTGTATTTCTCTAGCTCTCTCTTTTTTCCTTTCTCTGAAATTAATGAGAAACATATTCACAAAAATAAATATAGTAAGTGATCATTCGATATCAAATGAGAAAGGACTCTCAGGTTTAGTCATCTGCTCTTTGTTTTCTTCTTCAGTTGTACAAAGATTCCTCTTCCTTATTTGAGCTGTTATTTTTTTTTCTGCATGAATTCATCTTTTCTACTTACCAATAATCTCCTATTCTTAGAGATTTGTCTTAACATTGAAAACTGGTGTGTGGAAGGAGAATTGAGAAGTTACTCTGGTACCTAGCAAAACTTAATTATGATGGTTTAATTACTAAATTTATTGATTTATTATTTTTTTAATAAATTTATTTTTATTGATTTCAAAGAGAGAAAGGAAAAGGGTGAAAGAGATAGAAACATCTATAATAAGAGAGAATCATGCGTGGGTTGTGTCCTAGAAGCGCCTTAATGCGGACCAAGACAGCATGTCAGGTCTGTGGCCAAACCATGATTCCAACTGTGACCATGGGAATCCTGCCCACAGAATATTTGATTTTTGCTTAAAAATGAAACTTCTTCCCCTATGTGCTTGTATAGATGACTTGCAACATGTTGAGGAATGTCTGAGATAATTTTTCCAGAATGAATTTTAGGATCATTGTTGGTCAATGGCCCTTACCTTAATTTACAATCCTATTCATGGAGTAAGAGGGCAGGTACTTCACCTCTTTTTAGGAAATGTGGGCTTTGATGGATTTAGCATTCGTTTCTCATAAATTTTAAAAGGTTAGTTTCATTTAGATTTTCATGTTTCAATTTTCCAGGAAAGTTATATTACTTTCATTTCATTTATTCATAAAAATCAGACCTAAATTCCCAAACATTTTAACATTTAGGGAAACAAATTACATGGTAAGGGAATCAGTAATTTGTTAAATTGTCATTAGTGCCAACAAAATACAGGTAACATGACACCTCTGTTAAACATGATTTTCTACAGCATCTATAAGATGGTGAATATAGTTAATAATACTATATTTGAAAATTTCATTTACATTCTGTTAGGATGAAAGAGGCCAAATGATGTTTTCTGTGTGTTGTAAACCAATCAGCCATCTTACTACTATCTGTAATCTATTTAGGTTCAAACTGGTTACTTCCTTTTGAAGACATAATCCAATGTAAGCAAGTGGGTGTGGCCTTACCTGGGTGGAATCATATAAAAGGTACATCTGTGCAAAGGCCACTTCATTTCTTCACCAGGGTAGACTGACTGAAGTTAGGGCTGCCAGTTGAGCACAGAGATTTCCTATTGGCACTGAAAGCGACTGAACTTCCACAGGTGATTATTCTTAGGACACACTGGTGAGTATGGAATTTAGAGTAAGTTTCTTTTTTTTCCCTTTGAAATAAATATCTTCAAGCCTTCTCTTATTACAAATATTTTCAATTTACCTGTTGCTGTGCTTGCAAGTTCTCTAAGTAGAAAAGTAGATTTCCTTGATAATTGAAATGAAATCAATATCTATGCTTAGAGCAAGTTTAATATATGGATATTTGTTGTGTAAGCTATCTGATTAGTTTTTATTTCAGTTCCATATTGCTACTAGATGTTTTAGTTCTCAAAAGACATTTCTAATTTTATGCAATTATGAAAACCATAAACACATAAAATATTCAACATGCTATATGCATGTTAGTGTCTTCATACACCTTAACCTAAAAAGTGTTCAATTAGTTGGAAAAACCATACAAAAGTCTTGTTTGCTATATATTTTTTTAAGGCTCATGTGGCCAGTTTCTGACTTTTTTTCCCCTTATCAGGCACATTTTTATATTTAAGTACATTTTTATTGATTTCAGATAAGAGAGAGGAAGAGAGAAATAAAAAGATTTGTTGGCTGCCTCCTGCATTCCCACCAGTGAGAATCAAGCCCACAACCCAATCATGTGTTCTGACCTTTAAGTTCAGAGGTTAATGCTCATCCACTGAGCCATGGGGGCCTGGCTAATTAGTGTTCCAAAGGGAAAGGGGGAAATAATCCCAGTGGAGAAACAAACCAACCAATCAAAACAACCAGCAAGCAAAATCCAAACCAAGTCTATTTGGGCCTTTTGGTCTGAACATTATTCCTGTAGGCTTCCTGAGCATGACTGAGAAATTTAAACAGCCATCCCAGAGATCAGAGGAGTTCTAGATAAAAGGGAAAGACTTATGAGAAATGAAGAGAAGGACCTATATTTAAATACAGAACCATGCCCAAATAAAGACAGGTGTAGAAGCAGGAATGGGAGTAGAATGTGGAAATATTTGCCATGTGGATGTGGTTTAAAATTTTTGCCAAGGGTGTGAGAAGTAAATAGATTATTGCTGGAAATTCCAAAGAAAATTAATCTAATCAAGGAAGTTACTGTCTTCCTCACTATAACAACCTAATTAGGGTGGAGATTTAGGGATCCCTATATCACTGTGTCTCAAAAGCCAGATTCATTCTGTTTGCAGGCATTTGGAGTTGGCTGGAAAACTCAGAAGGTTACATCTGGTTTTGGATACAAGAACCCAGAGAAGTCAGAACTCCTGACCCAACTGGGTGGGTGTTCCTATGAGATCGATTATACAATCCTAAGGTGAGCACACCCTTGTAAGTATATGAGTTCTCACTTTTTCCTTAATATACATAAATTAATGAATATATAGTAATTTAATTTGTCTGTAGGCTTAAGATTCTCTTAAAAAAAAAACCAATTTGGCTAGTTAATAAAAATTATGTAATTACTTTTAGTTTACTCTTGAGCTAGAGAATTTTAATCTCTTATTGCTTTGACATTTACATAATTGTTTATGTTATGTGCCTTGGGTATTCAAATTCGGATACCTAGAGAAAAAATTTCATATTTCCAGTACTTTTATAATTGGCATAAATCCTAAAGCTTAATTGGGAGAACTTGTTGTAGAATAGCAAAAGTGACAGATGCTTAAGAATGAAGGAAAGTTAACCAAATAAAATTGTAAATATTCCATAATTTATTCACTTCATGGCACTTGAAGGAAGAATCAAAATTATTCCTTAGGAATCATTCATGCCCCCTGCACTCTAGATAATGTATAAATTTACCATTTACAACAGGTTCAAGATTCACTCATAGAAAAAGGCAACAGTGGAGTCCAAGTCTCCTCAGCCTGTTTCATTTCATGTAAAACCTGTACCTTCTGTCACAGACCCCTGAGCTGCACTTAGAAGGTGACCACACTCAAGGCAGTAGAGAGCAACAGTCCTCTGCCTTTTCCACATTTCTCTTTTCATTTCAAATATTTTCTTCTTCCCAGGGCTTTTCTCTTACACTGAGCCTTGAGGAGCCAGTTGTTCTCTTGGAGAGATCTGGCAAAAGGCAGTCTAGAATGAAAGTTAGCGTGACTATTTTGAAAAGTACAAATGTAGCCTATGGAAAGAAAACATAGTTTTGCTTCAGAGGTAGGCAGGTCATTTGTTATTTATTTTGTTAAGGCAATTTAATTGTATGAGGGGCATATCCCAAGTGAGGTGTGATTTTCTCATTCATTCTTCTATTTCTCCTCAGAAATATAGAACATACACTGCAAAACTTCCAAAGTATCTCAGCTGCTAAATCTACAGATTGAAGACTTTTGAGTTTCTGCTGTGGTGTTTGTATAACTCGGACCTCATAAGTGGCCCAAAGTCCTAGAAATGGCATTGACTAATGGCCGAGACCAATGGCCTAAGGAAGACATTGTGATGTTACTGGACCGCCTGAAGAATAATCTGCCATCCAATGACGAACGCACATTCAAAACTACCCAGTCACGTATGGACTGGGGAAAAGTAGCTTTTAAATGTTATTCTGGTGAAATGTGCAAACTCAAGTGGTTAGACATTTCTAGGAAGATAAGGAAGTATCGAACTCTGACAGAATTAGTCCTAGAAGCTAAGAAACATGTTAAAAATTCCAAAAAAAGTAAAAGGTGCAAGAAACATTCAGACATTCCCAAGCAGCCCCTGACTTCTTACATTCGCTTCTTCAAGGAGAAGCGGCCTGGGTATTCCCAAATGCATCCGAAATTCAACAACCAGGAACTGACCAAGGTCATGTCTGAGAAATACAAGGTGCTCCCAGAGGAGATGAAGCTGAAATATATGGAAGATTTTCAGAAGGAGAAACAGGAATTTGAGGAGACACTGGCTCAGTTCAGGAAAGACCACCCTGAGCCTGAGCAGAACTCCAAGACCTCTGTGGTCCCTAAAGGGAGCTGAAGCAGAGCCCACAAGAAGTTTAAGGGAGATGAAAAAGAACTGAAATCTACCCAGGAAAATGATCTTTGGGGGGACATAAGATTCCGTGGAGAGCCTGAGAAGCCCTCCATGAATGCATACCGCAAGTTCCACTGGGATGTGTAGTCCAGTGAGGAGCTGCAAGGCCTGCCCCCGATGCAGCGCAAGGTGGAGATTTGCAGACTCTGGCAGCGTGTTCCAATGAGCCAGAGGGAGCTTTATGAGCAGCAGGCTGTGGAGCTGCAGAAACAGCTCAAGACCCTGTCTCCTGAAGAGTATGCTGCCTTTAGAGAGAGAAGTGCTGGGAAGCATAAGATAAACATGCGTGGAGGCCCAGACCCCAAGATCATCAAGACAGAAGTGCAGTCTCCATCAGCAAGGACTCTGCAAGAAGGGCTTGCACAGAACCAGGGGCCGGATCCCAGGATGGGATCTTCAGAGACAAATGGGGACATTTCTCATGCCTCACGGGGTTCTGAAGGAAAGAAGGAGCATGAGGAAAAGGCAGAAAGCAGCAGCTCCTCAGACTCCAGCAGCAGCTCCCCAGACTCCAGCAGTAGCGATGAAGATGACAGCAGCAGCGATGAAGATGACAGCAGCAGCAGCAGCTCATCTTCCTCAGGGGACACCTCTGACTCAGACTCCAACTGAGCTTTGTTCATTCCTAGATGGTGGGACAGAGAACTTCCCAACTGAAGTCTTTGGCATCTGTGTAAACTGAAGGGCTATTTTCCCTGTCCCTTTTTATTGCTTGACTTCTCACTTCCTTTCCCTTCTCCTTTTCAGTACAGAGTAGCGCAGGTTGGGAAGCAGGGAATTGGGACAGTACTCTCAATATAGGGTCCACACACCTGGGAAGAGAGGTTCCTGCTGGGAGAAAAAAATATGTCTGAGCCTTTACTGGGTCCCCCTACACCATCAGTACCACTCCCCCTAGGGCCCTCAAGTAATGAATGAACTTGAAACAGTGAGATGATTAAGCAGCTGTGAGGAGCAGAATGCACTAGACTGCATATTCTGAAGGAAGAAGTTTTGCTTTCCTCATTTTATGTCTGCCAGAAGTCATCTGGGGCAACCATGAGCCTGTGACTCCTACATTCTCTGCAAGAACTGCACATCTGGATGCGTACACCACATCTGGTGTGACAAAGGATTTGGCCATTCTTAATGTGAGAGTGGACAGCATCATGGAACCGGCAATATTTATATATGGATATTTAAATGGACATTTCTGAGACTTTCTTACTAATTTCAAATAGAATTATATTCCCTAAGGTTAACTTTTTTATTTAAATGAGGACCTGCATGCAATAAATTATTTATAATTTGGGACACTGTGTCTCCAAGTAGTGTCTGCTTTTATTCTTGGCAAAATCTAAATTCCTTCCTGTTCAAGTGAATCTTCTATTTAGCTTTCAGGGTTGATGGATGTATTGGTGGATGAAGGGATAGGTAGGGATAGGTAGGTGGGTAGATAGGTAGGTAGATATATAGATAGATGTTAGATAGATAGATAGATAGATAGATGATAGATAGATAGATGATAGATAGATAGATGATAGATGGAAATAAAAAGATACCTGGATATAGCCCTGGCTGCTGTCCTCAGTTGGTGGCGAGCAGGCCAACAAGGGAGGCAATGGTGGTGAGCTGGATGGCAGGGGCGACAGTTTTGAGTGATCAGTGGTCTGCACTCCAAAGGGTCTTGAGTTCAATTCCTGATCATGAGAACCTACCTGGATGGCAGTTTTGATCTCTTCCCCAGGATGGGATGTGTTTGGGAGTCACCCAACTGATTTGTCTTTCACATAGTTTTCTCTCTAAAAATCAACGCAAAAAAATATCCTTGAGTGAGGAATAACAAACCAAATAAGGTATATGGATAGATACTACATGGATACATAGAAAGATACAGACATATAAATATACACTATTCTGTTCTATTGGTCTGCCAGTGAATTATTGTTGCAATACGACATTGCTTTGATTATTTGGTTTACAGATATGTTTGAAAATATATTTTGTATAAAATTAAATTTTATTCATTCCCCCTGTATATTCTTTGCAATTTTCATATGATGTTCTCTTGAATATAAGCATGATAAAAATAACTGTATCATTTTTATATGGAAACCATTAAGGTTTGAGCATTTAGATAACTACATATCTTAGTGACTTATTATTATAATAAGTGTTTTGATAGATAAAGTACATTTTACAAAAAAATAAAGCAGCATTAACATATTGTATACTTCTAATTCTATCTCTTTCTAAAAGTGTTAGTTGGAATATTCAGAACAATATTAAGTAGTAACAGTGATACGTGTTTATCTTGCTTCTGACTTTCAAACTCATGTTTAAAGGATTTGCAGTTATTGAAATTATGCTGATTAATGTTTCAATAAAAGTAAACTATATAACCTATTCTAAAAATGCCTATATGTTTATATTATTGTTTTCACTGCATAATGTGTACAATTATTTAACACATCACTTCTATCATTCATCAATAATATTTTCCTTACATATATTTGCATCAAGAATTGCAGGACCTAATATTAAACACTCATCATAATCCAGAAATAAACCTGCTTTCTTATTCCATATTGAAAAGATGACTAGAGGTTTGGCAGATTCTCCAGCCTTTGCTATGCTGGGAATGTGACATTTACACAAAGCTTCTGGGTAGATTCACTACATTCACCAACTCTTTTTCATAAACTATGTTTGAATAGTTGTCCCCACAGTAATGAAACCTGCTCAGGGGCAGCAGACTGAGGGAAAAGAAATATCTTCTATAATAAAAAAAAAAAAAAGGGGGTGGGGGGGAATATGCTATTTAGACTGCCAGGCCTTCTAGAAGACCTTCCAGATGAATTTCTGGACAAAAAAATAAATAAATAAATAAAATGGCGGGGCCAAGGAAGAGATAGTAAGAGGCAATCAGGCCAGGAAAGGAGGGCAGTTGGGGATGACCAGGCCTGTGTGGGGCACAGTTGGGTTGAACAGCCAGTGGCAGGAGGTGATTGTTCCACATTTGGGCTCCAGTTTGTAGTGAACACCTTTCACATCCCATGTGATTCAGGGTTCAGATTCAGGGAGTTTGGGCTCTGGAGGAGACTGTACATAAATGAAAGAGATTAGAAAAGATTAATTTGGGGATATTGAGGGCCAGGTGGGAGCCTATCTCTTAAGACTATGGGATCCACACATAGCTTTAGGCAGGCAATTCCAATAATTGCCAATCAGCAAGGATTTACATAAAGATTAAAAGGTGGAGATTGCTTTAGCTATCATTGTCTCAACTAGACAGTGGGAGGTTGGCTCTGACCTTTCAGAGCTTCAAGGTTGACCAGCCTTCTGGGTTCCTTGTCTTCACTTCTCTGCTAGTGAAGACAATGGGTGGCTTCCAACAGGGGGGTAGCTGGAGGTGAGCAGGATGGCAGGTAGAGGATGTTAAGGGTTAGCAGGCCAATAGAGGGTGACAGTTGGAGGTGAGCAATCAGGCAGGGGGGCAGTTGGGAGCAAGCAGGCTGGTTGGGGTGCAGGTGGAAGTGAATATGCCAACAGGGTGGTAATTAGGGACAAGCAGGCTGGAAAGGGGGACCATTGAGGGTGAGTAGGATAGTGGAGGGGCAGTTGGGGGTGAGCATATCAGCAAGGGGGGCAATTAGGGGTAAGCTGGGTGGTAGGGGTGTTAGCTGGGGGTAAGCAGGCCTGTAGGAGGGGGCAGTTAGGGGTGATCAGACCAGAAGGGGGTGCAGTTGGGGGTGATCAGACTTGCAGGTAGAATGGTTAGGAGCAATCAGGCAGGCAGGCAGGTGAGCAGTTAGGAGCCAGAGGTGCTGGGTCATGAGAGGGATGTCTTCTGGTTTAGGCATGTTCCCTATGGGCCTAAACCAGCAGTTGGATATCCACTGAGTGGTCACAGATTGGAGAGGGTAAGGCCGAGCTAGGGGACACCCCAGACTCCCCATACATGAATTTCATGCACTGCGCCACTAATTATTACAATAGACTTGAAGGATTTCTCCCTCTCTCCTAGAAAATAAAAAGAAAATGTATTTCTCCCTCTCTCTTTCCTAGAAAATAAAAAGAAATGTATTTATGGGAAAGTATCCAGGGAGGGAAATCTCTTAGAACAGTTCCAGATACCTACCCTCAGCTCCTTAACACCTAGTCTCTTTCACTTTGCATAAAATTGGAGAGAAAGTGAATGTAAACTGTCAGGAAACCAACTGAGCGCCATGATGTGCACGGTGTCTGACAGTCCAAAGGAAGGTGGCTATCCCTTGTGCTGTGATGCTTGAACTGAGTCACAAGGAGCTAGCAAGATCAGGATGGAAAATGAGGTTGCAGAGTGATTTGGCTCATGCACTTATCCACGTATCGATTGGCTCTCATTCATCAGGTATTCCTTTTCTTCAAGGGCCATGAACCCTGGTTTCCTGAAGGGGTCTCTCACTCTGCTCTGCTGCTTTCCCTGTGGGATCTGCATGTTCTCATTTTAATCTACACACTTTTCTGGCATGACCTCATTTTACATCTATATCACCACTGAAATTCAGTTCACATCATAAAGATCTCATGGGCATCTCCAGGACAATTTCCCTCTGAAACAGCATTCTCTGTGTCAGAACCAGAAATCATCCCAAATCCAAAACCTGCTCCTTTCTTGAGCATCCTCTCCGCATTGATCCCACCCATCACCACTTGCCCCAGTGCTTTTCATTGTACCTTCAGTGATGTTCCCTCCTCCTCTCCACAAGCACAGTGAAGGCGACCCACCCTCTCCACACACAAGCAGAAATGGAAATGTGAGTCTCAGGAGGGGTTTCATAGGGCCTGCCAAGCTCTAAGAGAATTTTCCTAAGTTATCCTGGCTAGTTAAATTTTCTTCATGCTTCGCTTGTTGCTAAACACAGAATGAGTTCATAAAGAGTGAAGGAAAATGTATAATTCTACAGTTGATGATTATAACTTTGTAAACAATTAAAAAACAAAAGGGAAATATTTTTAATTACCCTTAGTTTGCAGTAGTTGTAGGTTAATAGCAAATTGCATGGCAAGTATAGTTTTCCCATATACCTTCTCTTCCCACTCATGCATAACCTCCCCTATTGTCAACATCTCCCACCAGCATGGCATGTATGTGTGTTACAGCCAGTGAACACACATTGACATAACATTATCACCCAAAGTCCATGTATTCACTGTTGTAGAAAAATATTTTTTCAAAGTAACCTAGATTTTTATTCCAACTCATCACATTGATACCTTCACTTATTTTTTTCCTTTTTATTCAATTTATTGTGGTGACACTTGTTAATAAAATTATACAGGTTTCAGGTACACAATTCCACAACGCATCATATGAATTGTATGTTCACTATTCTATAGGAAATCTTTTTGTAAAAAATATTTTTTTATCACGTCAAGACTTTGAATGTTGTATCTTATCTATATACATAGTGCACACCCTAAAAATATTTTTGTTTCCTCTTATTAAAATTAATATTAAAGAAGATTTTTATTGAAAGAACTGAAGTAATCTAGCCCGTTAACTAGCTTTTAAAGAAAGACTAATACTCTTATGGTCTGTAGATTTCTTTCTTTTCAGTTTCAGCAGGAGGCTAAGTGTAAACACATGC